AAGCGTTGAGGTTGTGCTCTACTCTCGACATTTCGAAAAAAGCACTTTTCTTGAAACTGAAATTGATTTTTTGTTATTTATATCGCACTTACAGCTTAAAATGAGTACACTTATGTCAAGTCAAATAATTTTCCAGGCACATAAAATATATTTCAATAACAATTTTTTTGTTTAACAACATAATAAATAATAACATTAAACATAATCTTTTTTGGACGTCCGTGTATGAATGGGTGTATGTGGCAGGGAAATTGGTCGAAAAAATGATCGTACCGGAATAATTTTTTTTTAATTATCTAAAGTAATACACGACAGAATTTCTTAGTTAATATGAGCGTTCAATTCACTGTCGTTAAATTATTATTTATAAAAAACTAATATATGACTGTGGATTTTTTTATATTTCTATCTATACATTTTATTATAATATTTTTTTTCCTCACCTTGCAGTTATGGCGCCACTAAACCATAGCAGTGCTTTCTGTTTTTTATTATTTTGCTTTCTATATTTTATTTTAATCAATTTTATTTTAAAAAATGAGATTATGAGGCGTGCACTTTTGGATTTTCCAAACTTTTTTTTTTATATTTTTAGCTATGTATTTTAAGATATATTTTGAATATATCTAAAATATCGACGTTCTAATTAGCAAATTGTCTAACTGAGTTACATTTTAGAAAATCTTCCATTTGTACGAAAAAAACAATTAGTTCAAAATTTATTATCACTTTAAAAAACCATTTAATGTCATTAATATCTAATAGAGATATAATATTTTCGTTTGAATCATTCAAATAATTTATAATTGAACTATTGCTACATCAAAATGTTAAAAAATCGCCCTCTAAAAAATAAGAAGTTAGGCAAATTGCTAATTAGACCGTCGATATATAAAATATATATATGAAAATCGGCCGAAAGTTGATTATTTAAAATACATTTCGACATATGTTTTTTTTATATTTTTTTTTTTTTTCATGGGGGATCTTTTTGATTTGAGTAGAAAAATCGATTCAAGACAATTAAACCTTTCAAAAATATTTTCTTGGTTCAAAAAATTTTTCTCTTGATAAAATTTAATTTTTTTTTATGTGTATTTTAAAGAAAAATCAAAAGATTTGCTTTAAATAACTATCAAAAATTTTTTTTAATTAAATCGCGTTTAATATTTCAAAGGTTTTTTTTCATCTATACGTCAAAAACTGACAGCTATTTTTTTTTTTTTTTTCGTTTCATATCAATACAAAAATATTGACAAGTCCAATCCTTTTGAACTTTACACCAGAAAAAATTCGCTGAGAAAAAAAAAAAAGAATAAATAATTGTAATTTGGAATAATTATTAATTATAAAACTAAAGAGAAGAAGTAAAAGTAACGAGGTGAATAAGCGTGAATACAGAGGGTAGTTGAAAATAAACACATCGAGTGTTGATTACGTGACCGTTTGCCATTTCTGTATGGACGATTATAATCCTCAAGGGATGTAACAGTTATTACCTTTAGCACTTTCTACACCTAAATTCAATGGATATTAATCTTTATTATTATCATCATCATTATTATTATTATTATTATTATTATTATTATTATTATTATTATTATAACCATAACTATTAACTATTTTTGTTCAACTGCAGCCTACACAGTTTCGCAATTAGCCGCCCCTTGCACTCTCTGCTATCCTGTTCTGATATTCTGAGCACGAGTCGAGGAATTAAATGCAATAAACCAGTTTGAGCACTTGATAATCTCTAACATGTTGTATATCGATGCCAAAAATTGATTCATCACGCCAGTATAAATTTCTGATGCAAAGTTTCACGTAATAATCAAAAAGTTTTATTTAATGTTCTTTAAATTATCTTTCAGCGGTATAAATAGATATTACCTCTGTCAAACTTAATTTTTATTACCGCAAAACTTTATAAAATTACGCTGTAAATATTTAAGATTTATATTACCATCGATTTAATAGATTGTCGATTGCTCGGAGTAATAAAAAGTTATTTATAAAACTTTTCAAAATTTTTTTACAACCTTATAATTTACAATGAAAATAAATTTGATAACGTCATATAATATAATATAAAATGTCACGAGATTTAATGATCGATCATCGCACATCAGACCACCAGCTTTGCCTGAAAAAGGTGGAAGACACTTGTCTTCCCAATCACAATCGCAATCGACAACCACCGTGCCTCCAGTGCCACCTCCACTTTCTGCACCACGACCTCCTAAGTTGACTAAAGACCAAACTCCCAAGCAAGATCATCATTATGAAAACACAATATTGATTCACGGGACTAAAGAACACGTTGTTAAAAATATCAACTTGGAGATGAACCGTGCAAAGTTCACAGCACTTATGAAGAGCAGAGAAGAACCTGGTGGCTCTTCAATAAAACCTGAGGGTGCTGCTTATGAAAATGTCAATGTTGAACACATTTCTAGGCTGACTGCTCTTGGCTTTGCACAAGATGCTGTTATCCGAGCTCTTGGTATCAGTAGGAATGATTTAGAGATGGCTTGCGATATTCTTAATGAGTTTGCAACTAAATCTTCTTGACCAGGTAATTTTTATTATTATTACTAGCAACCTTGCAGTCACTATGTGACTGCTGTGATTTGTAAATAATGACTTTTGTTAAATTTCACTGTACTTTTTTTAACTATTGACGCTTTTAAAGATATAAGTCCATCCTGATGTTACAATCATCGAGAGCTTTCATTTGAGTACCCACATGCATTTTTGATATATTTATCATATATATAATATATATAAATATATGAAAAATTGATGTGGGTACTCTAATGAAAGGTCTCGATGAGTGTAACATCAGGATGAGCTTATATCTTTAAAAATGTCAATAGTTCACAAGATACAAGGGAATTTCTTAATTATCACAGCTATATATTTAAAAAGCTTTTTCTTCCTCAAAATATGTATTAAAATAATTATACTTTAATTTACAGGTACAAAGACTGATGGTTTATGACCACCAGTACCTCCCCGTCGCTATCTTTAAAAGGGGAACCTCCGGAACAATGATATACATAAAAAAAAAAATCATCAATAACAACATCAGCTGCACAAAAACTACAAATTAGTAATGAAAGAAGAAATATATTTATAGTAAAAAAAAAAAAAAAATAAATAAAAAAAAAATAATAGTTGGCCACTGAATCTTAAAACACGAATTATCCGTAAATCAATTAATCAAAATTAATTTTTTTTTTAAATGTACAATACTTATATACACAGCACATTAAATATCCTGTCGTTACAATTAAATGAGTACTTTAAGTGATAAAAGTACAGAAGAATATTTTACACATTTACAAACCTGACAGAATTAGAGAGTAATAGATAATTAATTGAATATTTAACTATTAATAATAAATTAACAGTACTTTGTGTTTGTATTTATCGTGTAGACAACAAACAAAATAACTTTTCATGACAGATATCGTTGCATGTTTTTTTTTTTTAATAATATTATTTATTTATTTTATAGTGTATTCATCAAATGTGATATTTATATTTAAAATATACGTACGCATTAATTCGTACGTCACATTATAAAATGTATGATACTTTAAACCTTATCGGAGAAACAAAATAAAATTAAAAAAATTTTTTTTATTTAACAAAATGACTGGCGTTCACTTACAATAGTAATATATTATTAATTATGATAAATTGGAATGACAATAGTGGTATTATATTATATTAATGGAGAAACGGTATTCGAATTTAAAAGAAGAAATAATTAATCTTGGAAGATGTTTTGTTGAATATTTGTAAAAGAAAATGCAATATTGTCATTATTTTTAAGAAGAATATATATATATATATATATATATTAATGAAAGAATAATTTGTCAAAAGTTTACGATAGGACTGAAAGAGTTTGAAGATTTCAAATAATAATAATAATAATAATAATAATAAATAAAAATAAACTTGTAAATAATATAAACAACTAATTTATTCAATTATACTATCTCGTTTTGATTTTTTAATTAATTTAAAGTGATAATTATTTATATCACAAATATAACTACGATTTTATTGTATTTCTTGTACCTATTAAATAATAAAATACTTTAAATAAAGATACTATTTGTATTTTACTAGAAAAGACTGACTCAGCAGTCACTAGAATTATATTCTACTAAATAAACAATTATACTTTTAAAGAAGAAATAAATAAATAAATACGAAATTAAACTGTTACAATTTTATCATAAATATTTGATAGTTTTAAAAAGTCTAATGTGACTAATAAATTTAGCGTTAAAAATCATTCAGAAATTAAACAATTAATAAATCTAGGTGTCCTATTTTTCTACAATTTAATATTTGCAGTAATAAATCATAAAAAGAAGAAATAATCACAAATTTCAAAATTTTAAAAATCAATTCAATATTGTCTCTATTCAAATATATATTGTAATTTTTACCAGTAATCGTAAATAATAAATAATAGAATAAATTGTAATGCCTAGTGCAATACTTAGTGTGTAATTATTGGCTGTATTTAATTAAAAATTATTATTTCATTTATAAACAATATGTAAGTTTTATAAAATTACAGGTCTGTTTAAATTAATGTTCTTGAAGTGGGGAATATTAATTAGAGGCCTGTAAGGCAGTATTACAGATTTAAATAATTTTTATTCAGCTAAAAATTTACATTAAATTTTATTGATTCAAAACTTGAATCAAATTCCAATATTTTTTTACGACTTTCAATTTTGGAGTATTCTATTAATTAAAAGCTGAATAAAAATATATAAAATAAAAATGTAAGAAGAAAAATGTAATACTGCCGAAAAAATTCCTTCAATTTGATCGAACATATATTTATGCTCTTAAAGAATAAATTGATATATAATTAAATAATTGAGTTATTCATTTAACAATACAATCAACATATCATTGATTATTATATAAACATTGATTTATTATAAATATTCACAATAAAAAAATATTTATTTACAAATTTTGCTACCTAGTTCTTGATGCAATTTTTCGTATCGCATTAATTCTTCCCGACTGACGGAAGGTACAAGTGACTTGACAGCTTCAAGAAAGTCATCTAAAGCAACATTAACATTTCCTTCCGGCTTTTTTTTATCTTGTTTTTGATCGAGAGACTTTTGGTAATTTCTAACAACTTTGCGCACTGCATTTAGCCAGGCATTGGAGCAAAGAGAATTCAAATCGGCTCCTGTTAAATTTTCCGGCAATAACTTAACTAATTTATCCAAATTCTGGTCGGCATTTGCCATGTTAAATTTACGAGTTATTGCTTTTAAAACAGTAAATTGTGATTCAGAGTCTGAATAAATTCCCACGTACAATAATTTATCAAATCTTCCGGGCCGCAATAGCGCAGAATCAATGAGATCAGGTCGATTTGTAGCGCCAATAATAAATGTATCTGCAGAACTACCGAGCCCATCCATTTCAGCGAGCAATTGAGATACAACTCGGTCCATAACGCCTCCACTGTCGCCACTACGACCACGATTTGGTGCCAACGCATCCAATTCATCAAAAAAAATAATACAAGGCGAGGCTGTTCGGGCCAATTCAAATATTTCTCGAACATTTTTCTCGCTTTGTCCGACGTACATGTTTAATAACTCAGGGCCTTTTACCGATAAAAAGTTTAATTTATATTCTGTAGCAACGGCTTTCGCTAATAGAGTTTTTCCAGTTCCCGGAGGGCCATAAAATAAAATCCCAGACCGTTTAATGTCACAGTCTTGCATCAGAGGTATTTCTATTCTTTTCATTATTTCACTTTTTAAATTAGCCAGCCCTCCTATGTCTTCCCAATAAACTTGAGGCACTTTCGGCGCTCCTATTTGCTCAGAAAATGTTGCTTGCATATGATCTGTAATTAAATATTTTTTCCTCGTAAATAATTTAATTTTTAATGTAAATAATTTTTTCAAATCTTACCATAAGCCTCAATGAAGTCATTTTCATTGATAATAACCCAACTTTTTTCATTACTCATCAGGGATTTGTAACAATTAGTAGCAGCGTCCAGTATCAAAGTTTCGAGATCATTCATAAAAAAATTACAACACATTCCAGCTATTTTTGGCAAGTCAACGTCGTATTTAATATTACGACTCTTTAAAAACCAATCGATCAATTCAGATCTTTGATCCTGCGTGAAATAATCTATAGAAAATGTTTCTATAAAATTACGAGTTATCTCCGAGGGAATATCGTCATTTTCGGATGTCGCTATTATTATCAACGGATACTTCATTTTACTATTATAAATATCATTTATTTGCTCGGCAAAATTTGGAGGCACTCTTTCATCAATATTACCTTCGGTGTCTCTTCCAAAAACCTTTAAAAATATTTTTAATTAATAAATTACCCATTAATTATAATTTTTAATTTATTAATAGGTAATTTAATAGTAAAAATATTGTTTAATTATAAATAATATTCCTTACATTAATATTGCTCAATTTTAAAATACAAGGTACTAAATTTTGAGCGTTAGTTAAACTTATACGTAATTTAGTTTCTATCTGAGAGACAGATAACGTTTGAGTTTCATCACAATTGAAATCAAGAAAATTAAAACCCATTTGTTGAGACAAAGCTCGGATTAATCTTAATTTTCCTGATCCAGCAGGTCCTTTCAGCAAAAAAATAGGTTTCATTCCCCTCCAATTATCTGAAAAATTATTAATTAAATAGAAGAAAAATTTTAAAATTTAATATTAAAATAAATTACCAGTCATTTTAAATGGCAGTATCGAAGCTTTTAACTCTTCAAAAGGTTTATAAGATAATAGCGGAAAATTGGACACTGAATTCTTTTCAATCTCCTCAAGAACGTCCTTGATGCTATCGTCAATTATTTCTAATTTTTTAAACTCTGGAAGGTAGCCACGGACTTTGGTTTCTTGAATAAGAGTCGACTTTTCACAGGATACATAGCAAGATCTGTTAGTGTATTTATTATTTATTTTCACGCTGTTTACTTTAAAAAATAAGTCAGTTAACTGCCGGTTTTCCAGAGTAAAAAAATATTCTTTTGCATACTCTTTAATATTTATTTTAATTATATCTTTCGTCCTTAAATATCGAGGAGTAGAAAAGTAATTTTTTAATAAATTCTCTACTAAATCATCAGAACACTCTTGACATGACAGAAGTGATACTTTAACTTCGTCAGCCCATTCTATCTTACTTTTACATGCAGGAGCTGTAAAAAAACAAATTTGTTAATAAAAATCTTTAATAAAATTAAAAAAATTAATACTTACTTATAAAAGGTGATAAATTTTCACCCAGTACATTTTTAATATTAAATAAAGTTGTTTCTGATACATATAATTTATTTTTGACGTCTAATGGTAAAACAAGAATTTTATATTTTTTATCACATTTTTTAGAACAGATATTTATCCACATTGTTTCTGAAAATTTTAAACAATTGACAGCTCCGATAGCACACGATGTATAGTCAATATATTTTTTATTTTCACAGTAGTATTTTTCAACAATACTTTTAAAATTACTGTCATTAATTGCTTCTATTTGGACTTTCATCTTTTTCAACCTTTGTAATTTTATTTTCACATAATGTAAATAAATATATGACAGTAAATAATAATTCTTTTTACTCTTCAAAGTTCGTATTAAATAAAACAATATTTTGCAGTAATTAAAATTTTTGGAAGACATTTTTAGATAAAAAAAATTTATGTTACTAGTTTACAATTATAAAAAAAAAAATTTGAATGTTTATCTAACCCATGTTTAAGTTTTGAGGTTATGAAACTATAAACACAGAAATGACGCGCGTTACCGGAAACGAGAATCCCGGTTCGGGAACCTTCGGTTTTTCGTTGTTCGTGATTGGTGGGACTTATGAAATGTATAACAAAGCAAATAAATATATATATATATATATATATAACTTCTAGCTCATATTACTTTGATATTTCTTCGAAAACGGTTATGGCGAACAAAGAAAATTGCGTTTTTTCTTTTTAATTGATATTGTTACTTAAAAATAATTAAAATTACATTTTTTAACAAACAAAATAAGTAATTACATTAAAAATAAATTATTTACAGTGTAAATGATAATTTTTTTGTAAATTAAAAATTATTAAAGTGAAACAAGTGAAGACAGACGCCGAACAGGTAATAATTACATTCTTAAATTTATTATTATCAATTATAATTTTATTTATAATGTTAATATTATTAAAATTAATGATTTAAATACTAATTTTATTAAAAAAAATTGCATTTTTAATTTATTAAAATATCTACATGTCATTTTTTTTTGCCAAAATTTATTTGTTATAAAAATTATAAAAAATAATTAAATACCAATAAAATTAATTTTCATTGATAAAAATATAATAATAATAAAGTTAGCCGATATTTTTAATTTTTTTATTTTGCTTAATTCTTGTATTTACTTTTTAAAGTTTTTAACAAATAAAAAAAATTCTTTTGTAATAATTCTTTACTAAAAAAAGATCATAAAGTTTTTTTAGATGTCAGCTAACTTTATTTTCATGTTAAAAGTGTGAATTAACTGTAAAATAATTTTAGGTATGGATCCAGCAACACAATTTTGGTCTAATAAGTGCGTCGCTTGCAATGTGCCGGGTCGCGTAGACAAAAATTACGACGTAGCAGTTGAATTATCAATGCAAAGATTACTCGAATGTGAAGCTGAGCATCCAACACTGAAATACCAGCTAAAATGTCGAAAGACGGCTGCTTTGAAAATAAAAGAAGGCAACAATTACTATTTAACCCAAGGAAAAAATGGTTTAGCTCTGGTGTCATACACTGAGGGCATAGCTTACGCGCCGCTGAACTCCAAGGAGCTGGCAAAAGGTTACGCGAACAGATCAGCAGTAACCTGCGAGCTTGGTCTCCACCATGATTCGCTAAAAGACATTGAAAGAGCTTTAGACATTGGTTACCCAGATGATCTAAAAGCCAAGTTATTTGCTCGCCGTGCGAGGAACTTGCTGTCGCTGGACGAAGACATGCGGCCTGAAGTGGAATTAGCCATGGCTGAAGCTCGTCGCTGGGCGAATTTAATGACTTTCCCTCAGAAGAGGAAAATATTGAATGTATTAAATAATATCATGGACTTTGTTGCAATTTCTGATTTTCCCGAAGATCGTCATAATTTTACTACGACAAGTAACAATTCTAAAATTCTTCGAGCATCAGACTTCATTGCTATTAAATATAATGATAAATTCGGTCGCCACATTGTCGCTACTAGAAATATTGATGCGGGAGAGACTGCATTTGTTCACGAGTCTTATGCAGCGGTAGTAACTCCCGAGCAGTTTTATCGCTTCTGCTGGTACTGCTTGAAAAAAGTTTACTCTGGTATTCCTTGCCATCAGTGTGTCAACGTGATCTATTGCGATGAAGATTGCCTCGATGCAGCCTGGAAGGAACATCATCATATCGAATGTCCTATGATTACGTCAATGGTTTCGGAAAATATGAAAGAAAAAGAATTTTTGGCTCTGAGGATGTTTATAAAAGCTTTCAAGGAAATGGGCTCTGTTAAAAATTTGCAAGATCATGTCAGGAAATTAAATTCCATTAACGGTTAGTATTTTTTACAAAATTAAAATAATTAACATAATTTAATAATTAAATTAAATAATTAATTAACAATTATTCTTTTACTATACTTAGATCCAATCAACAAACTTTTGACTGATGGTGTTTTTGATGATACAAAATACGCAAGTGTTTTTGGATTGACATCAGATACTTCGTTTGTTTGGTCTTCTCCTAGTTACACTTATCATTTGAAGAGCATCTTTATTGTCTATTATTTAGCAGCGACTAGTGACAATATATTGGACAGAAAGATAACTGTTTTCAAAGACCTGGCTGATGATCGACAAACTTTGTTCATCGCAAGCTTGTTACTCAAGCACTTTGATATTAACTTGATGAATGCACAAAAAGTAAGTTTGTTATTATTATTATTATTATTATTATTATTATTAATTATATTTATTATATTATATTAATAATAGTAATAATAATAAGTTTATAAAATAATTTTTTTTTGCTAAATAATTTGATAAAAATTTTATTTCAGTCGGAAATCTCTGACTATGATGTTGAAGAAGATCATTTCAACCGAGGAATAATGCTTCTGCCACTGATGAGCTTGTTCAATCACAGCTGCGATTTCAACATGTGCTATTATATGTCAGGCCATAAAGTAGCGCTTAATGCTGTCAAGATGATTAAAAAAGATGAACAATTAACTATCAACTACGGCGCAGACTTTCAATTAAAACAAACGCATGCCCGAAAATCCTTTTTACAGACGCGCTATAATTTCACATGCGACTGTGTTGCTTGTGTAAATGATTGGAGCCCTGATTCTGAATTTCCCTTCTTTTATGCAAGTATTTTTATTACACAATTAAATTATTTTGCATACTAATAATTAATTTCTTTATTCAATAGCAATTAGTAACATCTCCAGAAAGTATGTCAAGAATTCTGGACGCAGTTGAAGAGAACTTCGAGCAGGATTTGTCAATTTTAGGTTTGGCTAACGCGACAGAAATTGTTGAGAATTTTAATTCTCACAGACTCCGGGGTTTACTGAAAATATTGAAAGTCTATGATGAAGAAGGAATAAAGTTTCCATCCAGTGAGCTTCTTATTTTTAAAAGATTGGTAACACAAATTCACTCAACTGATTCATACTAAAGTTTTGTAACAATTTTTTTTTTTTTTTTTTTTTTTTTTTTTTTTTTTTTTTTTTTTTTTCCCACTTTAAAAATAATCAAAATAAATATTAATCAACAATAAAAACAAAAATTTAATTATAATTAATTTATACAGCTTATATTCATGATACTAAAGGTAGCCGACATTTTTAATGTTTTGATTTTTTTTTAATAATTAAATTAGAACAAAAAAATTGCACTTAAAGTTTAGTTTATAAATGAAAATTTTTTTTTTTTGTAGTCATTTTTTCTATAAAAAAAAATTTTAATTTTTAAATGTCGGCTAACTTAATTTTCATTTAAATTCTGGTTTATATTTATCTCGCTAAATTTATCCCCAAAAAAAAATAACTACGCAGTAAGTACAAAAATAAAAGTATTTATTTATAATTAAACTTGGGATTATTTTTTTTTTTGTTTTTTTTTTTTTTTTTTTCCCACTTTAAAAATAATCAAAATAAATATTAATCAACAATAAAAACAAAAATTTAATTATAATTAATTTATACAGCTTATATTCATGATACTAAAGGTAGCCGACATTTTTAATGTTTTGATTTTTTTTTAATAATTAAATTAGAACAAAAAAATTGCACTTAAAGTTTAGTTTATAAATGAAAATTTTTTTTTTTTGTAGTCATTTTTTCTATAAAAAAAAATTTTAATTTTTAAATGTCGGCTAACTTAATTTTCATTTAAATTCTGGTTTATATTTATCTCGCTAAATTTATCCCCAAAAAAAAATAACTACGCAGTAAGTACAAAAATAAAAGTATTTATTTATAATTAAACTTGGGATTAAGTACTTAAAATTCATTAGTCAATCTTTTAGTGTAAAGAAAATTTTGTGCGCTTAAATTTTTAAATTTTTTTAATAAGGAATGCGGTGAAAAATATATTTGTAAAGTGGCGTCCTCTTTTTATAGAAGAATCCAGTATAATATCCATAATATATCTCCCACACGTGGTTTCAATCCAGCCAGCCATTTTCCCGTCTGTAAAGAAGCAAAAAGCCGCAAGTAAGGTTGTAATAAATTCCATTATTGCAAGATATTAATAATTAATAAAATTAACATAAGTAACATTAAAAAAAGTGTTTAAAGACTAAAACAAAATGAGTGGAATCGTAAGAAATAAAGTTTGTGCATTTGGGTTGAAGAACTTGTTAAAATCAACCTCGATGAACAGAATAATAACCTCACAAGTTTCCCGCTCGCTCTGGCACATGTCTAATACAATTAATAATTATGGAATTGCAAATTCAGCAGTTGTTAAACAACACCAGCAACAATTAAACTGTAAGAACGGACACAATTACCAGTGCCGGTGCTCCCAGCACACAAAAGCCGAAAAAGAGTTGATCGAGTTCCTCGCCGAGGAGATCGTTGCCGAGAAAAAAGCCCAGAAGTCCAAAACAATTCCAACTGAGCTCGACGGATTCGCAGTTTCCCTGGACGGCGCCAACGTTACCTTGGTAAAAAAAGTTAACGATGAAAAAATTAGAATTGCATTTAATGTCAACCACACAGTCGACACCGAGAGCGAGCCCGAAATTGACCCCAGCGAGGACAAACCCAACTTCGGGGAAATGAAGAGCAAGCCGAACTTCACCGTTGATATTGTTCGTGGAAACCAGACTCTGGGGCTGACTTGTTCTTTTAATAATGAGTATGGAGCTTCTGGAGCCGATGATAGTTACAATGACTGCTTTGGGATTGATGAAGTTACTTTGTACGAGGGAGAGCACAGCGACAAGGTCTACGCCGTAGCTGGGGAAGTCATTGATGGATACTTGTATGATTTGATGATGAACTACTTGGAAGAAAAGGGCATTTCTAATGAGTTTGCTGAGAAACTCGTTGAACTGAGCACCAATTACGAGCACAGCGCTTATATTAGTTTATTGGAAGGTTTATCTAAGTTTACTACTCACAAATAATTTTATACTGGTAATTATTCTATTTTTAATGATATTTTATTTAATTTAATTTTTAAGGATTTTTATTTAAAAATTTTTTTTTTTGTTTCAGAAAAAAAGCTTGACTGCAATTATGGCTGATTGATTCCAACTACGTACTAGCTTTAAGTTACTTTCGGTTCAATTTGATTGAGTAATTAATACTTAGAATTGATATTTGATGTATAAATTATTATTTAAAAGAACAAAAACATACTTTTAAAATGTATTACCAGTAGAATTAATTACCAAAATGTATAAGTTACTAAATAAATCAGCCGTAGTCAAAGAAATTAATATATTTACTTTAAATTATTTTTCTGTACATAATTTTTAATTAATCTTCTATTTACTAACTAGAATTAAGTAAAGTTGTAATAAAAAATAATTTATAATGGACATTCCAGGATGTATTTAAGATCTAGCTATATACACTAGCAATATACACAGCGTTTTACATTTATTAATTAAAAGTCAACTATTTAGCAAATAAAATTACTGCCCGAATTTTCGTTTATTGGAAGGAGGAGTGAGCCGGAATTTCGCTAATTCAACTTCTGCTTCTGCGAAACTGTCTACGTGATAACAAAAGTATTCCGGGTTTTTGTATTCCTTGTCTTTGGCTGCGCCAACAGCTCCCACAGCTGTAAAAATAATTAAACAATTAATTTTTCACCTTTTTAAATTTAGTTTTCAATTAAATAAAAATTACTCACGTTGTGCTGGAACTGCTACACAGTTTTCACTAAGTCCAGCGACATTCATGTCAGGTTTGCTGGGTTCACTTTGATTTGTTTGCTGGCTAAACAATCTGACAGCTAAACTTCTATTCTGTAATAATAAAACATTATTAATTATTAATAAATCAATACTGGTGGCAAAGCATGACATTAAAGTTAAGTCACTTAATCATTTTTTTTTTTTTTTAACAAAAATTTGCCCCAAAAAATTATTTAAAAAAATTGCATTTTTAATTTTAATTTTTTTTTTGCCATAATTTATTTGTTAAAAATATTTAATAAAATAATTTTCTTTGTCAAAAAAGGTTAAGTTGTCAAAAAAATAAAATATTTAAAAAATGAAGTATTAAATAAATAATTACCGTGAAACGAAGAGCTCTCACAGATAAAAACATCTTTGCACTTGTTAAATATTTTTATAAATTACTATTAATTGATTTTTACTATTAAAACAATCTTAATTTATCAAGAAGACGCAAAATAGTATATATTTAATAATAAACTGGTATTGATATGAGATTTTACAAAACTTATGTAATGAGGCGCTGACAGTCGTCGCAGAGTTTTTCGAACAGCTGATTTATCTAAAAATGGATAAATGTAAGTATTTATAATAATTGTTCATATAAATATAAATAATAAAAGCGCAATTTAAACAATTGCATGCTTGTCAATTATTTAATTACTTAATCAATCAATTTTTCTTTAAAAAAAAGTAGATAATTTTTAAGGAAACTCCTAACCTCTGATTGATAATATTTATTTATCCACTCTAATTTATTTATAAATTAAATAATGGTGATTATTATTTATTATATAAATAAATTTTATAATTTCAGACAAGCCTTGGCAGTATGATGGTTATTTACGGCTGTTGGGTGGTCCAGGGTACTATGATAAACCAGAAGGAACAGACCCCGTAGGAAAATTGTGGGGTATCAACAAATATGCGATCGCGTCAGGGATATTTTTTGGATTGGGTGACTCTCTGATTTATACTCAAACTAAGAATGTTCTTGAAACAGCAAATTGTTTCGGGTATTACATAGTACCCTTTGTGGGCTTAGCTTCAGCGTTTGCCTGCGGAACTTACATTTCAACTGATCTGAGGAAAAAAGATGACAAGTTTAATTACGTTGTTGGAGGTGCGTTTTATTTTTTATATTTTATGTAAATAAATTGGTAATTAATATTTTCTTCAGTGGTGTCGTGTATGCCGGTTCTTTATGCCTGGAAGAAGACGGCATCTTTCACTTTCTGGGGTGCTGCAATGCTCCTCTTCGCAGCTCTGGTGAAAAAAGATTCCAAAATGAACGACTGGACAATGTTGAACTACACAACCCACTACAAGTACGGAAACTTCAAGTACGATATGTCGCTTGTTTCCAAAGAGTGGCCAAGAAGACCAATCTAAATTAATTGTATTACTACATTAATAATAATTAATTAAATAAAGTTAAAGTTAAACCTAGATTTATATTCAAGTCTCCGGTTTATTGATGAATAGTTACGTAAATTTGTTTTAGAATTTTATCAATGTATTTATATGCTGGTCATGAGGGTAATAAATGATCGATAATTACAGAGAGTATTTTTTATTGATGTGTTATTTACATAATGGTCATTGTCATGATTGTTTAATTTTTAATACTGATGGGTTACTTTTTTAAGTATTTATGTCAGTGTTTCTCCTTTTGTTACCTGCAAAATATAAATTTTTATTTTTATTAAATGGAGAACTTAAATAATGACTAAAATTAATAATACTAAAGTTAGTCGACGTTTTTAATTTTTTGATTCTTTTTCATTTATTTAATTAGAACTAAAAAATTTTTTTTAAAAAATTGCAATTATGGTTTTTCAAATTTTTTATGAATAAAAATTTTTTTTTAATAATTTTTTCAATAAAAAAAATTCTAAAACTTTTTAGATATCGGCTAACATCATTTTTATCTAAAATTAGCAGTCACTTGACAATTTTTTAATTTATTCAAAAAATTACTTTAAAAAAAATTGCATTTTTAATTTTTTAAAATTTCTTCATGACAATTTTTTTTATTAATAATTTATTTGTTAAAAAAATTTTATAAATAATCAAACATCGGCTAAAATATACTCAAAAAATAATATAAAAAATTTTTTAAATACATTGCTGTCACAATTAAACGCAAATACTTACGCAAGCTTCAAGATACTCGATTCTACGCTCCAAAGTAGTGAGTTTTTCATTTAAAACAGCGAGACGCGACCTACATGACATATCTAAAAAATAAAATCAATAATTATTAATAATTAACTCTCCATAAATTAATTAATATAAATAAAAATAAATTACCAAATGAATTGAGAAAGTCTGTAATTTTTTTAATACTCCCAGTAATAACTTCAATGTATTCACGATTTGCCCAGTCTTGTTGAATTTGTTTCTGAAAAGCTTCACGGTGTACAGTTGCCATTATTGATAAATATTGTTAATTAAAATTGCGATCACACCCTAGTTAATTTATTAATAAATATAAAAATAACAAAGTGTATGTAAAAAATAATTTACGAATGAATAAACAATAATACCCAAACAACTGTCAATTTTTTTGACAGATAGATGTCACTCTTTAAAACTCAAACGATAAATTATCCACAACAATTAAAAAGTGTTAATTAAACAATTAAATAAATAAATTAGTTAAATAAAATTAAATTAGCAATTTTTGGATTTTTAGTGCGTGCTTTTGTTAAATTTTTGACAGCTAAGTGTTTAAAAAATTCTCAAGTAACTCCATCTGTCTAGTATTTAAAAATTTTATTGGAGTTTAGAGTGGAGAACTTGGAGAACGTGAACGTCGTGCGAAATGCGAATATATGCACAAAATATATGTATATATACGAGAAAAACATATTAATTACGTCAATATTATTGCAATAAAAAAATTTAGAGTTGTTGTTAATTGTTATGATTGAAGAAAAAAAAGGAGAAATACGTCACAGCTGACAGCTGTCATAAATGTTTTATTTGTTTATTTATTTTATTTTAAATAAAATAATCTTTCGGAGTACTAATTAAACCGTTTTTATCAAACACTGTGAAATAATCATACATATTTTGAATGATCTTCGATATGTTTTTTAACCCTGATACTTGTAATAATAATAACAATAATAGTTTGCTAAAATAATAAATTCCCCGGCAACAGTATGGAGTGAAATAATTATCAATCATCATTTTGCTGGTCATTTTAGTTTCATGAAACATTAAAAATTTAATATTTAACGTGGCACAAGTAATAAATCTATTTAATTTAATGATTGTAAACATTAAAAAAATTTAATATTAATTATTTGCCGTTAAATAAATTCGAGTTTAAGCGATTGACTTCAATTAAATAGATGTTATGATTTTGGGAAGATGCTTATTTTTTAATTCAACACGTTTATTATCTGAGTTTACGAAAATTTCCAACAATAATTATCGGAGAGTTGTTCACGCGCAATTACCAGCTAATGCTTATCAATTACAAAGGTACTGATTTGTTATTTATTTTTGTTATTTATTTATAAATTCATTTATTTTTTTTTTTTTTTTTTTTTTTTTTTTTTTGTCATTCGGGTCAAGGTGCAGAAAACTGATAGTAAGAATGGCATCGACGTCTCACGGAGATACTAAAGACAAAAAAAATAAATTGGCGCTGGAAAAGTCTTCGTATTTATTACAGCATGCTAGCAATCCAGTTGACTGGTATCCTTGGAGTGATGAGGCCCTGGAAAAGGCCAAGAGAGAAGATAAATTAATATTTTTGTCTGTGGGTTACTCGACCTGTCACTGGTGCCATGTTATGGAGAAAGAGTCCTTTGAAAATGATGAAATCGCTGAAATTATGAATAGATATTTCGTTAATATCAAAGTCGATCGTGAAGAACGGCCTGATATTGATAAAATATACATGACTTTTGTCCAGGTATTTATTATATAATTTTTCAGGGATTTATTGGACAGTAAATAATTAAAATAAATATTTTTTTAGTCAATTTCAGGACACGGTGGATGGCCAATGAGTGTATTTTTAACACCGGCGTTGATTCCTATTATGGGTGGCACTTATTTTCCTCCAGTTGATAAATTTGGGCAGCCTGGTTTTAAAAAAATTTTACTGAGCATCGCACATAAGGTGTTGATTTATTACTTGGTAGATTCTCATCCATGTTTTACGAAATATTAGACAACAAATCTTGGGAATGTGGACAAAAATAATAAGATGTTAAATTTTAAAAAAAAAAATAAAAAAAGGCATTTTTAAAAATCTAACATCTTATTGTTATTGTCCACGTTCTCAAAATTTATTGTTTAATATTTTGTAATGATTTATTTTCTACTCTAAAAAAAATTAAAATTAATATTTCTTGATATTTTTTAGTGGCTAGAGAATAAGCGCGATTTATTAAAGTCGGGAACTAAAATTCTTGAGATATTAAAAACATCTGCTGAAAGTAAACACCCAAGCTTAACCGTAAGTTGATTTTTATTAATTAATTAATTTATTTTTATTAACAATTAATTATATAACAGGGCAAAAATCCACCACCTAAAGATTGTGGTAAATTGTGCGTCCAGCAACTAATAAGATCTTACGATCGTGAATTCGGTGGCTTTTCCGACGCTCCAAAATTCCCACAGCCGATTAACTTGGAATTACTGTTTCATATGTATGGTCGTGATGCTAAAGATGAAATGAATCAGGAATGTTTGAGTATGTGTACACATACTTTGACCAAAATGGCTAATGGTGGAATTCATGATCATGTTGGTCAGGTATAATTGAAAAGTCCATTATTATAATATAAAAAAAAAAAAAAATATTTATAACTTTAATTGATTAATTAATTGAAGGGTTTCGCAAGATATTCAGTGGATGGAAAATGGCATGTACCACACTTTGAAAAAATGTTGTACGACCAAGCACAATTATTACGCTCGTACGCAAACGCATACATTGTTACAAAAGACAAATTTTTTTCTGACGTTGTTGATGATATTGTCACTTATTGTGTCCGAGATCTGCGGCACAAGGTATTTTTAATTTAATTTATGAATTAATTAGTATTATGATAATATTGTTTTTATTATTCGTAAATTAAAGGACGGAGGATACTACAGTGCTGAAGATGCTGATTCTTTGCCGACTGCTGAAGCTACTGCTAAGCAAGAAGGTGCTTTTTACGTCTGGACAATGGAAGAAATTGAAATTCATTTGGATAAAAAAATTCCCGACCGTGATTTGAAACTAAGTGATATTTTTGCGTACCATTTTAATGTAAAAGAAGATGGTAATGTTTCTCAAAGACAAGTAAGTTGAATAATTTAATTATGTGACACTTTTTTTCTCATTTATTGATGGTTGATATTATTTTCAAGGATCCACATGGCGAGCTGACGAATAAAAATGTCTTGATTGTCTTCGGTAGTGTTAAAGATACCGCCGATAAATTTGATTTCAGTGTAGAAGATGTAGAGAAGTATTTAGCGGAAGCTAAACAAATACTTTTTGAAGCACGTTCACAGAGACCTCGGCCACACTTGGATGACAAGATAATAACAGCTTGGAATGGTTATTAGTCTAGTCTTTTATTTAAAAAAAAAAAAAAAAAAAAAAAAAATTTATAAACAATTTTTATTTTCTAGGCCTTATGATAAGTGGTTTAGCGTACGCTGGTGTTGCAACTAAAAATAAACAGTACATACAATACGCTGAAGATAATGCTAATTTTATAGAGCGTTATTTGTATGATAAAAAGAATAAAATTTTATTACGAAGTTGTTATCGCGGTGATGGAGACATAATAATGCAACCGTCAGTAACTTTAAAATTTTATTTCTCCACCAATTTATAAACTGCATTAAATTAAATGATATTTTTATTTGTTATACAGGCAAACTCCAATACATGGTTTTCATGCAGATTACGCGTTTGTAGTTCAAGGACTACTTGATTTATACGAAGCGAATTTAAATACCCACTGGCTCGAGCTTGCTGAAGAATTGCAGGATATTCAGAATGAATTATTTTGGGATGATAAAGACGGTGGTTATTTCAATACGATTGAAAACGATAAGAATATAATCCTGAGACTGAAAGACGGTAAAGTGAACTATAAATAAATAAAATTTTGCTTTATTGAATAACTTTTGTCGAATTGTACTGTACTTTTTTAAATATTGACATTTTTAAAGATATAAGCTCATCCTGATGTTATACTCTCATCAAGAGCTTTCATTTGAGTACCCACATGTATTTTTGATATATTTTTCATATATATATATATATAAAATATATGAAAAATTGATGTGGGTACTCAAATGAAAGGTCTTGATGAGTGTAACATCGGGATGAGCTTATATCTTTAAAAAAAATGTCGATAGTTCACGAGATACAAGGTCATTTCTTAATTATTATTATTTTATTAAAAATTTTTTTTTAGAACACGATGGCGCTGAACCTTCAAGTAATTCAGTAGCATGTGGAAATTTATTACGATTGGCGTCTTGTTTAAACCGCACAGATTACAATAGCAAAGTTGTTGAATTACTAAGTTTCTTTGGTGACACTTTAATGAGAATGCCTATCGCAATTCCTGGATTATGTTGTGCTTTATTGCATTACTGGGATACCACCACTCAGGTTCGTTCATAAACTATTATATCTTGTTACATTTAAATTAAATTAAATTAAATTAATAATTTTATTTAAATATATATTATCTAGATATATATTGCCGGTAAAAGAGACGCTAAAGACACTGAGGAGTTACTTAGCATCATTCGAGACCGTTTGATTCCTGCGAAATTGATCATACTCACAGACCCCGACGACTCTGACTCGGTGTTGATCAGACGAAACGAAGTTGTAAGTAAAATGAAAATGCAAAATGGTCGGGCTACTGCTTACGTATGTAGACATCGCACTTGCTCTCTACCGGTTGTTGAATCAAGGCAGCTTGCTGAACTTATCGATGAGGATAATTGAATTGATACTTGATGAATATTTTTAATCCCAGCGGGTCTAAGACAATAGCTTAAAAAATTACTGATAAGTTATTGATATACTTTTTAACTTTAGAGATAATAAACGTGATATGGATATTAGTGATGTAAATCAAATAAACACACTTGTAGATGTGTACAAAAATTATAATTAATTGATAAAAGCTTTAAATTAAAATAAATATATCAATTCAATATTTATGCTATTTTTTCATTGTTTTATAAGCAAAGCGTACAATAAAATTGTATCAAAAATATACTGCTGTAAAAAAAATAATTATTATAGCTCGTCTTTGTTAGGATTTTTTATTATTAAATTTGGAGCTTTTACTTGACCGATAAATAATGGGATGTCACAAAGCTTGTGACGAATGGCAACCATAAATGGACGGTCGACTATAAACTCTTCTGTCTGTACAGCCATTCGCTTAAGTCTAATCTGTACTACTGGAATTTAAATAATGATTAATGCTTTTTTATTTAATAATTATTTTAGATTTTACCTGTAGCCGCTGCTGCTTCAGATCCTTCTTCGTTTATCTCTAAGAACGCTTTTTGTATGACTTTACTGACTTTTACAGGCGTGTCTGTCATACCTGTAAAATCAGCAGTGTCTTCGAACATTGCTTTTAGCCCCATCTGAATTAATTAAGTCATTAATGTTAAATACGATTTAAAAAATAAGAAATTTTTGAACTTACATTGGTGAGAATTTTTTCTAAATCTACTGTAGACTCAATCTTAAATTTAGGAACATGTAATATTATTTCGCCTTTAATAGAATCTGAGTTAATTATATAACTCCAGTTGAAATTTTTTTCTACGTAAGACAATCCTTCAACTTCGTAGGGTAAAATTATTATCATAGTTAAATTTTCGTCCTAAAAATATTTTTTTAAATTATTGATACGGTAATTTTGGCTCCTCGCCTTTATTAATCCGCAAAAATTACACACGTCAAAATTTTTCAGCTAAAACTTCTCATACAACGATATCTCAAATACAATAAGGTAAAAGACCCAGTTATTGACACTTGCAATTTTATTTTAATTAAAAAAAAAAAAAAAAAAAAAAAACAAATCAACTTTAATAAATTCCTAAATATAATTTTTTAATTATAAATTTTAAGATAATTAATTTTTTTAGAACATTCTATTTTTTTAATTAGAATAAAATTGCAAGTGTCAAACAACTAGGTCAGTGTCAATAATTGTGGCGGTCTTTTACCTTAATTTCTCAAAACAAAATTTATCACAACATAAATTAATCTGAAGAAAATTAATCATCGTTTAAGATAAATGATCCGTAATTATTTTTCGAATAGGCACCGTGTTGTGTCCTTTTATTTAAAATAAATATTTATTTAATATCAATTACAAATTTAATTAGAATATTATGACACATTTTTGGATATAAATACTAAAAACAATAAAAATTTTAATATAAAATAATCTAAATTATGAGCAATTAGAAGTTTTGGTATGAGAGAATATTGCTAGGATAAAATATTGCATAAGAAATTATTGATGAGAAATTTTGTTGTAGATAATTATTGCATGAGAAATAAAAGACGGTCACTGGTAATTTTAAGTAAGGTATTTTCAGATGTCGGCTAATTTAATTTTCATGAATAGCTTACAGTGTATGGAATTTCGAGAAACCTTGCATTTAAATTAGGTAAATCTCCGTGAACAAAATGAGCCTTTTTAATCATAACTGGTGTAAGTACATGAGCGTTATTTGCAGTGTAAAATATTTTAGGTGAAGTACGCTGACTATCAAAGGGATCTTTCCAAAATCCTTTGAAGTAAATAGCATTTACGAGAAACATTTTGCTATCTTCAGTAATATCATCTGGCAATTTAATTAAAATAATTAATTAAATATCTTAAAAAAAAAAAATGCATCTTTAAAAGATAACAAAAAGTACCAGGAGAGATAATATCTGTAATTCTGTTATTTGTATTCTCCAAAACCCAATTGTTTATCTGTTTAGCTGATTGCACGTTATCGGATAAATTTATTTTCGTAATTAATAAATTGTAGTAATCCACTCCTAAAGCTGTGAATTTATGCACCAGCTCAACATCGTTGTGTACATAAAATGAATTTGCTAAATGCAGCTCGGCTTTGTCAGTTGACTGATAACAGAGAAGTACTTATAATTAATTTAAACAGATAAATAAAGTTATTGAAATATTTAATTCGATACTTACATTTAATATCGATAAGACATTTTTGTAATCAGCTTTTAGTTGATCAATATCTTTTATGTATAAATTATTAATCATTTTCTCGGCGGTCTTTCCTCGAGCGCCATGAGACAGGAATGACAGGACAACATGAATACTTACTGGAGAGAAAATTATGTTTTCACTTTTATCTTCTGTCACTGCCTATAAAATTATTTATAAAAACGATCATATCTACGTCAGTAATAAAGATAATAGACGTCCGACAATTGTTTCATTTTCTAATAATTAAATTGTTGACATTAAAATAGCAGAGCTTCATTGTAGTTCAATTAAGTTTAATAATAAAAATTAATTCAGCAGATATTTGACGTTTAAAAAATTTTTTTTTATAAATTATGACAAAAAAATTGACTTGTAGAAATTTTAAAAAATTAAAAATGCAATTTTTTAAAAATAATATTTTGGAGTAAATTATTTTGTTAAAAAAAATTATCATGACATAAATTTAGCTGTCACTTGACAATTTTTTTAATAAATAAATTATGGCAAAAAAAAAAAATGATTAAAAAAAATGGACTTGTAGAAATTTTAATAAATTAAAAATGCAATTTTTTAGAACAAATTTTTTTGTTAAAGAAAATTAAAAAATTTTCAAGTGACTACTAACTTTAATAATAATAATAATAATAATAATAATAATAAACAAACCTTAAATAAATTTGAAGTAAATGTATGATAGTCGGTCGCTTCAGCCATTATTGTATAAATAACTAAATTTATCAAAAATATTTTTAATACTCCTTTTAACGAGCCTGTAACTAAAAATACAAAATTTTTTTTATTAAAAAAACAATTTAATTAGAAATAAATTGATAAAATATACTTACTCCTATAATTACTTGATAGCATTAATAAAAAAATAATAAATGCACTAAAAAGTAAAACGCAGTACCTAAAATAAAATTGTTTTTCAATCAACAGGTGTATAATATATTTATTCAGATCAATAAAATAATGAATTCATCATTAGATGAATCATCAATCATATTTAAATCATTTATAATGATAACGTTCTAGTTCTACTTATTTGTTTACAACTATAATTATTATTTATGTTATGTTGATATCGATAGTAAATTAATTCAAGATAATAGTGAATAAATAAAAAATAACATCTGATAAAAAACGATACTAGAGCCTCTACGAATTGTAATTGGAAGTATTTTGTATATATACATATATATTTATCTAAATGTGTGGCCTACGTGACGTTTTTATTTCAACGTGTTTCTTTCATTTCATTTTAGTTTAGTTTAACACTTGCACTCGAGCACTATGGACTGTAGTAAATAAAAACAGTTATTATTAACAATAATATCTTCTTTACTATTAATATTCATTAATAAAACACCTTTATTGCCAGTTCTTTCTTCACTCTATTAATGAGTGATTGTAATAATTAATTAGTAATTAAGTCAATAATTATTATTTTGATTTTTTTATTCACAAAAAAATCAACGGATATAAATTATATTTTAAAGAAAGCGTCTGTTAATTTTTTTTCTTTAATTAATTATTTTTACGGCGCATATATTTATTTTGGAGCTAAAATGTCAGTGGTAATAAACAGAGCTACGTCGAAGTTATTCCAGAGAGGGATTTATCAAAATTTAATAGATACTTCGATTAAAAAAAATCATTCTGTTATCAGTCACATAAAATTAAATTCGACGAATCAATTTGTCAGGTGAGTTTGTTTTATTTAATTACGCATTAATTAATATTTATTAATAATTTATCACTCATAAATTTAAATCATTGTTTGAGAGAACAATTTTCCTGTTATGATTTTGATTAAAAACAATTTATTGGTTATTTAAATGTTTATTATTTATTTAGTGACACTTATTATTATTATTATTATTATTTATTTAGTGATATTAATGACATTAAAGTTAGCTGTCACTTAAATTAACAAACAAATTAGTTCTAAAAAACTATTTTTAAAAATTTTCAAATGAAATTTTTTAAAAAAATAAAGTTTGCCGACATCTAATAACTTATATGATTTTTTTTTATTAAAGAATTATTATAAATAAATGAAAAAATAAATTTTTCATTTGCTAAAATCTTCAAAAACTATAAGTGCAATTTTTTTAAAATATTTTTTAGTTATAAATTAATAAATTAAAATAAAAAAATTGAAAATGTCCGCTAACTTTATTATTATAATTTTTATGACACTGAAAAAATTAAAAAATTTTTTATTAATTAAATTACAACTAAAAAAATATTTCTAAAAAATTGGACTTATAGTTTTTCAAGTTTTTTATAGGTGAATTATTTTTTTTAATTGAAATTTTTTCAATAAAAATTCTCTAAAAGTTTTGAAACGTCCGCTAACTTCATTTTCATAATTTTTTTATCATATATTATTTTTTATAAAATTCTTAAATATATTCTGAATTAATTTCCATATTTAGTATAATAAAAAAATTGTTTACTCTTTTTTTTAATATGTTAATTAACTAAAAATAACTATTTCATAACAGACATTTGATTTTTTAGATTCTTATCTAGAGATCTCACGCGAATAGTTAATTTAAATAAAAATCACGTATGACGCTGTACCATTGTATGCATCTATTTCTATTGAACTTATTTAAATAATAATAATTTCAACTAGATTGAAATAGAATTGACCGTATAATCTAAAGATTAAACTATGAATTTTTTAGATCACCACTATGTCGCATGGCCCACAGTATGGTGCAAACAAATTGGACATCAAGCAAAGATGAAAGTAGAGAAATGATGGCTCTCTGGCCAGACATAGTACGAGTTCTTACAGAAGCTGGTCGTCATCTTGAGATTCCTGATGCTACTAAATGGATGACTAAAGTATGTCATAATTATTTTATAAAAATACATTTACAATTAATAATAATAATAATAATAATAATTGTATAGGTATTGCAGTACAATGTTCCAAACGGTAAAAAAAATCGTGGATTAGCTCTTGTTTACGCTTATAGAATGCTCGCGCCACGCGATCAGCTGACAGAGGAAAATATAAGATTAGCCAGGACTTTAGGATGGTGTACTGAATTGGTAATTCATTAATTATTCAATTTTGTTTGAATAAATTAATAATATTTATGTGTTTATTCAGCTCCAGGCATTTTTACTAATCGAAGATGATATAATGGATCACTCAGTAACACGTCGAGGTCAACCTTGCTGGTATTTGAATAATAATATCGGGTTGAGTGCTATCAATGACGGTATACTTTTGGAGCAAACAGTGTATCAGTTACTACGCACGTATTTTAAAAACCATGAATGTTATTTGGACCTTATAGAAACTTTCCATGATGTAAGCTTATTGATATTTATTATTAAGAGAATAAGAAAAATTTTGTCTCCAAGATAGTCAATTTAATATGATAAGTATTGACATTTTCAAAGATATAAGCTCATCCCGATGTTACACTCATCGAGACCTTTCATTTGAGTACCCACATCAATTTTTTATATATTTTATATATTTATATATATATATGTATACATGAAAAATATATAAAAAATGCATGTGGGTACTCAAATGAAAGCTCTTGATGAGTGTAACACCGGGATTAGCTTATATCTTTAAAAATATCAATTGTTAAGGCACAGTGCAATTTAACATAATTAAGAAACGTCTTTGTATCTTGTAAACGATTGACATTTTTAAAAATGTAAGCACATCCTGATGTTACACTCATTGAGACCATTCATTTAAGAAACGTCTTTGTATCTTGTAAACGATTGACATTTTTAAAAATGTAAGCACATCCTGATGTTACACTCATTGAGACCATTCATTTGAGTACCCACATGTATTTTTGATATATTTTTCATGTATACATATATATAAATATATAAAATATATAAAAAATTGATGTGGGTACTCAAATGAAAGCTCTTGATGAGTGTAACATCGGAATGAGCTTATATCTTTAAAAACGTCAATAGTTAAAAAAGTACAGTGTAATTTAACAAATGTAATTATTTAATAAAGTCACACAGTGACTGCAAGGTTGCTAGTAAAATTAATTTTTATAATAAATTATATTTAATTATTGTTTGCTTCAGACGACCATGAAAACTGTAATGGGACAAACATTGGACATGTTATCAACCGAATTTGGTAAAAGACCGAACTTTAATTTATTTACAATGAATCGGTACAACGCAATTGTTAAATATAAAACAGCTTATTATTCATTTGTGATGCCAATAACATTAGCAATGCACTTTGTAAGTATTTTTAGATGTCAAGACGCTGCATAAAGAGTTTCTACTATTGACTAATCAATAATTATTTTTTAAGGCTGGAGTAGTAGATCCAGAAATGTACAGACAAGCCAAGACTATTTTATTAGAGATGGGACACTTTTTCCAAGTTCAAGATGACTATCTAAATATTTATGGGGATCCGAGAATAACTGGAAAACAAGGATTAGACATTAAAGAAGGAAAGTGTACGTGGCTAGCAGTCGTGGCTCTTCAACGCGTGACTCCCTCACAGCGTAAAATCTTTGAAGTGAATAATTTATTTCCTTTCTTTTTATAAAACTACAATTATCCCAGTAGTTGCTGCTGTGGATAAAATTATTTTAGAATAAATATTATATTAATGTATTCTTTTAAATCCAATAGGAATGTTACGGGGTTGATGATGAAGAGAAAGTAGCACAAATAAAACAGTTGTATGACGATTTGGGGCTATCAACAACTTACGCTATTTACGAGGAAGAAAGTTACAATCTCATGAATACTCATATACAACAAATATCACGTGGTCTACCTCATGATTTATTCTTTAAAATACTATCAAAGATTTATCGCAGGGATGCTTAATTACCTACATTTAAAAATTTTATCTTTTTATATATTATCATATAAATTTCTTTACTCTAAACTTTCCTAAAAAATAAAAAAAAATACCTTTTTACTTTTTACGAATTATAATGGTGTAATATGAAAAACTGTTTGTAATATGAAAAAAAAAAATTTATTTACATTAAAATTTTTTAATTCGATCGATTTTTTTTCTATTAAAAGAATAAAAAAAACGAATTTACTTCTTTGTCGACCTGACTCTTGAGACTTTTGTTTTCCATGGCCGGATTCTCCGAACGTTGTTTCGAATCTTAGACCTAACTATGTGTTTTAACTCACGCCTGGTATTTTTGAAGGACTCATCAGACGTTGAAGTTGTTTTAAAAAATTCCTCAGCATCTATAACAATTATTTCCAATTAAATTAAATCATAAAGAGATGTATTTTCATCAGTAAAAATATTACCTTTAAATCTTGGATCGTTAATTGCAAAGAAAAAATTTTTCGGCTGTCCAAATTTGCCACTAAATTCATTATTATTAAATTTATTACTTTTTTTATTTTTCTGTGGACCATCCTCGTCATCTGAGGAGTCATATTTGAACGGATTTTTTGTTTTTATATTATATTTAAGTTTCAGCGGCTGAATATCCGTCGCCTTGGCTCTTTCCGGCTCTTGCTCAACTAAAAATAAACATTTTTTATTTATCATCAATTTAAAAATTTAAAGAATAAATTATAATAATTATAATTACCCTCAGGCACAGCAGATCCAAAGGTTTTTAATAAACTGAACTCCTCTTTCTTCTGTAAGCTCTCAGTTAATTTATCCGATACTGAGTAAAAAATCTCTTCATTAATAGGAGGAAGCTGAGGCGCTTCATTGGCTTTTTCTTTAGCTTCAGCTTCAGCTTTAATTTCTTTCTTCTTTTTCTTCGATTTTTTCTTCGGCTCTGCTTCATCTTTACTCGTTTTTATTTCATGCTTGTGGTGATCGTCTACTGTCGGGTCGTAGCGCACCATTGTACTCGCTCTGTAAAATATTTATTAATTAAAATATCTATTTAAAATAATTTTATCAATACTTACTTCTTAGCAGGAACATTTTCTGGTTTCGGCAACATCGGCTTTCCTAATATTGCTTCCAAAATTTCCAACTCCTTTTTCTTCTCATTAGCAAAATCATCTTCTTGCTCTTGAACTGGTTCTTCATGTTTATAGTCTTCCTCCTGTTCTTCATCCTCATTTAGGTGTTCTTTGTCGATCGTAAATCTTTCATCATTCCCCAAGACTTTACGCTAAAAAAATAATTTTATTAAATCAAATTTTTCTAATAAATACAATCTCCATAAATTCACGGACAGTTAAATTTTCAGTGTATCATAAAAAAAATAATAAATAGTTGTAATTTACCTTAGACTTTTTTATCTGCGAAATATCATAATCACAATCCTCGTCGCCATCATCAAATAAATTTTTTTTTTCTTTTTTATTACTACTTTCGTCATCTGAGAATACTATCCTTTTATTATTACTCGTTTCATCCTGAAAAAAATTTTATTTATTGATGAATATAAAAATTAATATTAAAGTTAGCAGTCACTTAATCATTTTTTAATTTTTTTTAACAAATAAATTTGATTTAAAAAAATTGCATTTTTTATTTTTTAAAACTACATGTCAATTTTTTTGCCATAATTTATTTGTTAAAAAATTATCAAATATCTGCTAAATTAATTTTTAAAGTAAATAAATAACATACCGCGTTGATTTTAAACTCATTTTTTGCTTTCGGCTTCATTTTTTATTAATTATCACAGAATAAAATTTTTATAATTATTATTTAAATAATTTTCTATTAAAAAATATTTTTTTATAAATTTTAATTTAAAATATTACAACGTTATTTTCGACTCAATATAACCTCAAAAACGAAACTAGTCAGTCAGAACCCATGTGCGAGAGAGAACGGCGCGACAGTGAGATGTGTGTGAGTACCTGTTAAACTGCGGCAGTTTAAGTAGGAATCTTTTATTTGTTTTATTGATTTTAATTGTGAGGTGAAGTGATGAAATAATTATGAAAAGAAGACAATTAAAATTTATTGCACGAATAATTATAGAAATAGTTTATTGGTGAGAAAAAAAAAAGATTTAAATTAATTTCTTAGATTTTTAGGTTAGAAAAATTTGCATATATCATTAATTTATGATATAAAAAGAAATATTTTAATTTTTTACGAATCTAAAAATTAAAATTTATTAAGAAATAAAAAATTTGACTGCTAAAAATAAAAAATGAGGTGAGGTCATTAAGTTTAATAAACTTTCTTTTGTGTGAAAAAATAAATCTGAGAAATTTTTCTAGAGCAGAAAGTATTTATTAGGAATGCTACCTAACTCAAGTTGCGGAATAAAGTTGTAATGATATTTGACCTTTTTGCTGACGTTTGTTGAGTTTTACAAAAGTTTGAGTATTTAAATACTGAGTATATTGCAAATACATAAATTTCTGTTGTTTGTTTGAATGCATTGAGTTGAGATATGACATTTAAATTTCACAAACGAATAATTCAAACAAAATATAGATGAAATTATTAGCACCTATGTAGATCGAGTGAGTGTCACGAGTCAGCCTTTTATTTGGCAGGAGCAAATTAGTCACGTGGGTGAACTGCCGAATAATCTAGTTCAGGATTAGATGCATGCCCATTACTCCCCACGTGAACTCAATAACTAATTTTCATCCGAGGAAGTTCATTGAGTTGGGTAAGTTCGAGTTATAATTTTATCCTGACTAGGTATATATTTCTTTCGAATTAATTCTCTCTATGTTTAATCAGATTTACGGAATTTGCCTGCAAGCGAATTTATCTGCGTACTCAAATGGAAAAATAAACAGGATCGTATTAAATCAGTAAAGTAAATACGAGAATTTAAAACTGGTGCTCAAAGAATTATACTCTTTATTTCCAAGAGTTCAGTTTAGAAAAAAAGTAAGAAGAAGAAATAAAATAAAGTTTTCTTTGATTATCAGCCGTAATTAAAAAGACACTGAAAAAAAAAAAATTAACTTGATTCAAGAAAAAAATTCTTGAACCAAGAATATTTATTTATTTCAAATAGAATAAACCCCGATCGGCTATATACATATAAGGTTTTTACAAGATTAAATAATTAAATTATTAGATAGCATCATTTTTGTGTGTGAACTAGAAAAAATATAAAGATAAAAAATTATTGCACAGATTAATAGACTAATGGAGTAGTAATTAGTTTTTTACATTATTAAATGCAAAGGAGGAGAGTGAACTACCGAAGTAATTTAACTCAGTACAATGATAATTAACTAGATCCGCAATTCTGTTTATTGGTCCATAACACATGTAGTTTTTTGTTGTTTTTATAATATAATTTTGAAGAGGGTAATTATCTTGAATCAAGACGAAAAATTTTTGAATCAAGTAAAATTTCGTTAAATCAAGAATATTATTCTTCAAAATTATATACCGATGGTCTAATTAGCAATTTATCTAACTCCTTATTTTTTAGAGGATGATTTTTTAACATTTTGATGTAGCCATAATCGAATTATAAATTATTTGAATGATTTAAACCTAAATATTATATCTCTATTAGATAATAATGATATTAAATGATTTTTTAAAGTGATAATAAATTTTGAACTAATTGTTTTTTTCTTACAAATAGAAGATTCTCTAAAATGGAGTTAGACAATTTGCTAATTAGAACGTCGATACTTAATTCAAAAACATTTTTTTTCTGAGTAAAAGTTCATGATTTATTTTTCTATTAGATGCTTTCCGGAAAATATTATAAGTCTTCGCCGTCGGATTTGATTAGCTTCTCATTGAAGACCACCAGAAAAGTATCTTCTTGTTCTGAATCCTGCTAATCCCCAATAACTCTAATGCGATATCAATGAATCGAGCTACAGATGAAATCAACTCACGTTTCAATGAAAAAGAGAGTCGTGCTGCAGCAGCATATCTTATCAAGACTCTGGGATTGAAAACTACAATGCGATATGAGGTAAGTCTATTGTATGATTTTTAATACGACAGGAACATGATGAATAGGTATTTATTATATCAGTCAATAATATACCCTTCGGTTGCTAGAATGACCCAGCAACACCGTTTATTCAATGACGCATAGATGGGTATAATACCGATGTTTAAAGAGATAGTCCAGCTCTGTAGACACGTCAATGCGATCTACTAAGTCGATTACGTTACATACTTTTATATACATTATAATATACCCACTACACCGAGTTGAGATAGTTTTTAAAGTCATGTGACGTCATTACCACTAACCAGCTGGCAGTTTATACATTTATATACTTATAATAAAATAACTTGTCGTTCGTAACCTTTAAAAAACGGTCGATGCCCGTGTCACTAGAGTCATACCGCTTTTACGTCTGTCTTTATTCTTTCTCACTCGCTCCCTTGTTCGCTCGCTGGGCTGTTTAATTTATTACTTCGATTTTTCATCGCGCTATCAATTTAATCCCTTTAAAAAAATCATATTACTAGCCCCTGTTACTCTTATTATTATCAACATTTCATCTGTTCATTCAATCTTTCTTTCTTAGCTCGTCATCCAGAGAGCTTGTTATTTTTTTTTTACATTAATTTAATAATTTTTTTTTCCGTAATTTTGCGCAAGATGAACTTTATGAAAATGGGATTTATTATAAGGCGTGTAAGTAAGTTTAATAAAAAGGGTTTCATGATAAATTATTATATAGGATAATGAGTTTATTATGTAGGTATATTATAACACTTAGGACACGGTCACAAAAGAAGAGTTGAGAAGAATAATATTACTATAATTACATTTGCAGGGAACAGAGTAACCATTTTTTGTGTTGATTAAATAATAGTCCCTCTGGAGAGGATCTGGAAATTTTATTACAGTTATATTATTCTTGTTAATTTATCATACTAATAACAAAAGTTAATATTTTCTGTTTATGTTTACACATAAATAAGTTCATTTATTATATCTGACCTTCATAGAATAATAACTGTGACGCGTAATTTTCAAATACAAACTTTAGCTCTACTGAAAAGTTTAGTTGTTAAAATAATATCTTTTTTTTTATTTTAACTGGCATGTAGATAATGAAAAAAAAAAAAAAAATTCCAAAGTTTCATTTAACTTCAATAGACATGTGTAGAGATAAAAATATAAATACATACAAGTGTGTAGAGAAAGAGAAAGAGCGAACAGTGGTATTTGGTGGCGGTGACCCAAGTTAAGCCAGGCATCGATTTTCACATGATCCAATAGCCAAATCCTGTTGCGTCTCGATTACTGGACGGGTCATTCTGTCATACGAGAATTAAACTCGTAATATATTAACAGGAACTTTTTTCCTCGGATTAAATATACTTTTGCCATTTAAAATTATAAATTTCCACACATGGAATAAATTACCGAGTGCATTTTCTTTAATTAATCCTAACATGTAATTAAAAGTAAAAAAGAAGCAGAAGGAGATGGAATAAATTTTAATGCGGGTAGATAAAGTAAATGAATAGTATAATTAAATTACGCAGTGGAAATTCGTGGAATAAAAGGACAAATTTCGGTAACTGTACTTGAGCGTCTGTTTGAATAAGTAAATACATGTAAAGTAGTGTTAGTTAGTTCTTGCACATACATAGATCGAAACTTACCACAGGGGTTTCTTTAGATCTGAGTGACGTCACGATTCTGGTGAGAGGCGCGGCCCGCCATATTGATTCACTCCCCCCACTACGAGATTTCGCAGGGTTTTGCTCCATTCACAAATATACCCCGCCAAAGCAACCCCTTTCATCCTTCCTTCCTTCCTTCCTTCCTTCCACTCAGTCTTTCTCTTTCTAACTTTCTTATTATTTATTTCTATCTCTCTTCTTTTATTAGTTATATATTTTATTTCACTTAACTTTCTACAGCATTCTCTGTTGCTCTTGTCATCTTGCTGGTTTCTCATCTTGTTTCGGGAAAGATTTCCGGGTAGGATTGTCACGAGCAGTCTCGACGACGTTCCACCGATATGTCCGGTATTTTTTATTGCTCATTTTTATTATTTTTATTTTATTCTTCCCTCTTTATTCTCTCGTACTATTATATACGCTTTATAAAATTCCATCAGGAGACAGAATAATATTTTTTTTATTATTCTCATTATCATTATTATTATTATCATTATTATTATTATTATCATTATTATTATCATTATCATTATCATCATTATTATTATTATCATTATTATTACAGCAAGCTTGCTGGATTATGTTATTTAAAACATGGAAAAAGGAGTAAATTTCTTTTGAAGCAGATAAAATTATAACTCTCTTATTTTTAAAAAACTCTTTACGTCTTTTGGGATAAATATATGTATATACACACTCAAGTTTTACAAAAGATAAAAGTAGACGAGTCTCAACGACTGTATAACGTACTCTTGTCAGATTCGGGGTCTTGACGTAAAACGTATATTTATGAGTGCACTCAGACTCGACAAGAAGTAATACGTGAGTGGAGGTGTAAGTAGTATAGAGGTCGTTTCAAGAGACCAGAGAAGACTTTAATCCTAACAATACTTTTTTAAAGTATTTATTCTATATTTTTATCATTTACTTTAAAAACTTTGACATTTTTTATTTTATTATCATTGCATTAAAAATTGTTATATCACTTCTAAGCTCCCTGTAGAGTCGCTCGGAAAGATACAATGTTTTAATACATTTGCTCATACATTTGCACATAGAAGACGTTGAAAAGATAAATAGACCGCGATTACTAAATCAGGAAGTGGAAAATTCCCCATGACAAACTTTATAGGATCTTTCTTTTACTTTTAAAGTATATATACTCAGTTTGTTTATTTTTTAGCCAGTTATTTCATTCGCCGTTGAGTTCTGATTGAGTATATATTCAACCGCGTCCTTGTTTATTTTTATCATCGTAAAAATATAAGCGAGATATTTATAAAACATTTATAGCAATAGGATGATAAGTTTATCTATTATTTATGCATGCCTAATTGACATTTATTTTTAGTAACTCGATAACAATTATTACTCCTATTTTGGTATTTGTCAAGCTCTAGGGAATGTCGATATTCTATTGACCGGCAATAGATTTTTTTTTACTCTAAAGAGCTGTATAAACATTCATATTAAAATAACAACAATAGTTGCTAAAATTTTTTAATAAAATTTTGCTTTATTAAATAATGAATTTTGTTAAATTGTACTGTACTTTTTTAACTATTGACATTTTTAAAGATATAAGCTCATCCTGATGTTACACTTATCAAGAGCTTTCATTTGAGTACCCACATGCATTTTTATATATTTTTCATATATATAATATATATAAAAAATTGATGTGGATACTCAAATGAAAGGTCTTGAGGAGTGTAACATCGGGATGAGCTTATATCTTTAAAAATATCAATAGTTCACAAGATACAAGGTCGTTTCTTAATTATGTTAAATTGCACTGTACTTTCTTAAATATTGACG